TTGTTCTTGTTCTTGTTCTTGTTCTTGTTCTTGTTCTTGTTCTTGTTGTTCTTGTTGTTCTTGTTGTTCTTGTTCTTGTTGTTCTTGTTCTTGTTGTTCTTGTTCTTGTTGTTGTTATTGTTCTTGTTGTTGTTCTTGTTCTTGTTCTTGTTCTTGTTGTTGTGCTTGTTCTTGTTGTTGTTCTTGTTGTTGTTGTTGTTGTTGTTGTTGTTCTTGTTCTTGTTCTTGTTTTTGTTCCTGTTCCTGTTCTTGTTCTTGTTCTTGTTGTTCTTGTTCTTGTTGTTCTTGTTCTTGTTCTTGTTGTTCTTGTTCTTCTTGTTGTTCTTGTTGTTCTTGTTCTTCTTGTTGTTGTTGTTGGTGGTGGTGGTGTTGTTGGTGTTGTTGTTGTTGCTGTTGTTGTATATTTTGCTTGACCCCTGCACACAAAATACTAAAGCTACGAATTCCTCCAGCTCCGAAAGTTCAAGCACTGACATCCTCAGCGAGCCGGATTCATAGGAACCAGAAGTCGCAAACATGTCATGTATCAGTATCATGTATCCAATCAAGGCCATACTGAGTCAATACATTCCCTGGCCTACCGCATCAAGGTAGTTTGGTTCAAATGTTGGTCAGGTCTCGGGAACGTCTTGAAGCGATTGGAACCCAAAGCCAGCTTCTTCAGATGCATCTTCCCAAGTTGCTTCGGAAGAGACCGCAGCCTGTGCGTTTGCCAACGCCACAAGATGTCTTGCTCACACTCCCACAAAAGTTTTAACGGTGCTGCACTGGAAAGGTCTCGAGAGAGTGTGACAGGGGCACATGTTTGTGCTTTGTAGGTAGAAAAGTCCGATGACAAAACGTGGATATCCCGTCAGTCCTCGGGACCACCTTTGCCTTTACCAGATCGCCCACTTCTGGTTCTCCTGCCTGTTGTTGCCGAGGTAAAGCTCTTTCAAGTTGACCATTCTCGTGATGCAAGGAGCTACTGATTTGAAGCCATTCCCGTTAAGCTGCAAAGACCTGAGGGGTCGGTTGGACACTTGTTCTTTTTGTCAAACTGCAACCAAGTTGGACGTGGTTGTTGAAAGCTCAAGAAAGGGTATGTGTGTTTCGAACATAACGGGTTCTACCTTTTTTGATTTACTAAGATAGTCTACTTACTCAGGAGCATTTTGGTCGCAGGTGCCATACCAGTTGGGCAATCGAAAGCATGCAGAATGTCGTTCCAGCGTGAAAACAATTGGCAATCCAATCTAGAGCACTATCTGGGGGTCATGACCTTTTCAGCAACAAGAGAGCTTCCGAGATTTTGTTGGGCTGCCATTTGTCAAAGAATGTTTGGATCCAAACCATTGTGCCAAGGGTCCTCAATGAAGTTGCTGCCAAGACTCTCCAGGTGCACAAGGTTGCAGATTTCAGAAGGTACAGCACCGTCCTCCTCCACACCTGAGACACCAGGATCGTCCCTCCAAGCAGAAAACATCATGAAGCCTAGACTCAGTCTTCCATGAAAACGAGTTTCTTGAGGATTTCCCTGTCATGCTCTTCAATGTCATTCTGACTCTTTCCGTGTCACTTCCATGTCTCAATCGAAGCTGGTGCCGCACCTTTAAGGCCATTGATCTGCAAACGCTTCAGCCGGTGCCGTGTCCAGGATGCCAAGGATGAGATGACCACATCGTCCCGAAGGTGGGGATCCTCACGAGGTCGCAGCAATGCAAAAGCACCCCAGGCTTTGGCTTCCTTTTTTGCCGACCTCCCCGCCTGCCTACTAAATTTAAGTACATAGTAGGCCTACTTAATTAAGGAAGGGAGAGGTAAGCTAGTAGCTTACAAGTTCGCTACTACTTACTGGACGCAGGATAGCTCACGCTTCTTCAAGGAAGGCACAAATGATGTTGTTCCTAGATGTTTAGGAAATCCTTAACTTGTTGATCCTGGATTCTCGCTTCCAATTCACCTTGAAATCTCTGAAACAAATAGAAAGACTGGACTGGACATGAAATAATTGAACATCCAAGGCACCCTCTGCCGAAGAACCTGCACATCCAAGTGGAGCTCTGTGGGCTTCCCATTTTCACATCGCACCTCCTGCGATGAGCAGCCTGCTGCGGAGCTCAAATCTTTTCAATCTGTCAGAAGCCGCAAGGCAAACCGCAACACAAAAGCCCGAATTGCCTCATCAAACTATCTAATTGAGTTCGCCTTGACTGGCTTTGGACCAACATTTCAACAACCCTGAGAGCCTGAAATGCAATTCTATCAATCTTGAAACTCAAGCTATGCAGCAATGCCTCTGGAATGCAAAGAGAACAGGTACTCGCCCACATCTGCCTAGCGCATCTCTGTGGTAACCAGCACGAGAAGCAACCAGGTGATATGCCAAACTGTCAGACTTTTACAAATGTGTCCCTCTTCGATAACATTAAGTTACTTTGTCATTCCTCGAAAAGCAAAGCATGGTGCGTCGCCGTCTCCGACCTTCGTTTGGCGCGTCAGCACAAGCACTGCCAGAAGCATGGGCTCCCATGGGCTGAAAAAGGTGACCGTCTACTAGGCTGGATGCTGTCAGTTTGGAGCATTCTTTCAACTCATCAAAGACTTGAAACATGCTTTTCGTTGCGGGGCACAAAGAGGAATGCATGATGATGCGGCGCTTTTTGCTATCTCATGTGACTTCACACCTAAAGCCAGCTGTTGAGCCGAGCCGAAAGAAACAGGCCATGTTTTAGCTATCAGGTCATCTCTGTTCTCTTTTCCGTGTCACCAAGTACTGCCTAACCGTTAGGGCCTACCCGCCACCAGCAACAGAGAAACAGAAACGTGTTGGGTGGTCTTCTAAGTTTTAACAGCCTTTTCCAGAATCATGCAGCTGCTAGGCCCTTGAGTTTAAGATACTCAGGCTCAGGCTTGTCCGGCTTCCAGGCATTGAAGCGGGCTCTGATCACGTCACTGATCCGTGCCTTTCCTGTGAGTTGATTCACCTGAGCATCTCATATCAGGCTCAGGCTGCTCTGGTTGGCTTGATTCAATCGTTTATGTGCGCTTTATTTATCGTCATAATCTAATCAGGCCCGTTGCGATGATTCTTCTCTTTCAGTTCAAGGCGTGAGCTTCAATCCAAAATGCTCTAGACTCTAGTAGGCCAGATCAAAAGAACAGCATCAACCTTCACCAGTACAGCTGTCCTTTTGGTTTCCAATATGTCAGACTGCAAAAGATTCTATCAACCAATAAAAGGCTGCAATGCTATTCAAGACTATACTGCCAAAATGACAGAAGAGGAGAATAGAGTCCTACACCGCTCAAAGCCACAGCTGCAAATTCGACGGTTTGCACAACAAGAAGCGACACATAGCACAGGCCTGTGGCTCATAGATGGGAGCGCCAGAACTGGCAATGGATGCGCCAGTGCCTCAGAAGATTCAGATTGACCTGCAACCTCACTGCAGTCCTTCACAAAGTTCTAAAGCAAAAATTGTCTGTGAGCCGGTCAATGTCCAGAACACCTTCAGGCAACCCGACGGCTTATCTGAGACCGGTTGCTGCCTGCATTGCTACCTTGAAAGTGCAGGATGCCAAGCAGCTTCGATAGAGGCGACCCGTCTGAAAACACTGGAAAAGTCAGTCCTGGGCAAAAAAACAAAAGATATGCCCCAGCTAAGGCTAGATGTTTGTATATATATATATTGATAAAGTAGAAGTTGTTTCCCTTATGCTGACTAAGGCCCAGTCCAGAACGTGGCAACACCGCAGAGTGCTGCCTGCACAATGCAATGTCTAAAACAGTATCAACCTTGCCCCCCCGCTTGAAGGAGGCATCAACAGCACTATATGGAGCTTCAAGTCGAGTGCAGTGAAGTGAAATTGTTTTGTTGTATGTATTAATTCTATTAAGTAGCTTCTTGGATGTCTTCGTGCCAGGGTTCCCTCGTTGTGTGTCTTCAGCCTTGAGGCAGCTTCGGAGGCAACATCATCTCCTACAGTAGCCAAGAGCAAATATCGGCCGGGTTTGTGAGTTTACGAAGAATGCTAGTTGTGACAGAAAACTAAACACTCTAGTGTATACAACCCTAGATTGGCAGCCGGGAGAGATACCACATCTCCGACACTCTCGAATTCAATACGAACATCAAAATGAAGTCTTAAACCTTCAGTTCTTTTTTCAACCGATCAGTGTCTTGTTCTGATCAACTCGGGACCCGACCGCTGTTCGGAGGTGCTGAGCTAGACCGCAAGGCCTGATGCAAAGCCAGCTTGCCATGTAGAGTCGGCATGAGTCTTGACACATGGATAGACATCATCAAATGATATCTTCATGTCTTCACTGTCTCATCGTTGACAATTAATTCGGCCTGGCTGTGATGTCTCTCCTCAAGCTCACGCATCTGCGTGTCAATCTTCTCCTTTCGATGGGTGTTCGGAACGTCAAAACCAATGTTCATCTTGCTAAGGATGTTTCAACCACGGCTGAAACACTCAATTGCCGCAAAACTGGGGACAAGCAGGGGTTGGATTGCATTCAAAATCGACAAACTGGATCAGTGGTGTCCAAGCCCTTCCCACCTGGACTGGGCCTCCGTATTCGATGCCACCTTCATGCTTGACCTCGCAGTATGCAAGCTCTCAACAAACCTTCTGACAGTTCAGCATACTGCGGTGCTGATAACTACATGAATGATGCTTTATGATGCTTTGCTTTGTCAGTTCAGCAATATCTCTGTTGGAACGATTGTATCTGTTTACTGTTGAACTGCTGGCCCGCAGCAACATGCAAGAATCCACCGAACATTCTCCTAGGCTCAGACAGACTTGATCGGCCGCATCATAGAGTCCAACAAAGAGCCTTGGTGCACCTCCAAAGTCCGCAGAGTACATGCAGTTCAATCTGTAGGTTTTGTTGTGTAAACCGCACAACGAAATCTTCATTACATCTGCATCAACCTCCATGTCAACAAAAAGACGCAACTACCAAAAGGCCCAGGAAATGCATAATTATTGAATATAAAGTTTGCTATAGGCTTGATCAACACTGGCACCAGCTTGCCTGATAGTTCCGAGTGAACTCCCCGATGTCTACAGCCCCCTGGTCATTCTTGTCCAGCAAGCTGAACAAGGCATGAAGATCTGCACCTAATCTGCCAAGTCATCAACAAGCATTCCCAATCTACCAACACCTGGAAAACGGCACGTGGTTCTAACATGGTGTCCATGCAGTTCTCAAATCAAGGGCATTGTGTGCACAGCTGCACCACTCTTCTGCAAGACGCGCAAATCCGCAAGAAGACTCAAGCATGATGCAATGTCTCTCCACAAGTCTTTTATCGTACGGGCAGTTGTCTTTTTGGCTTGTCACTTGCTGTCAGAAACTGAGGATGCTGAATAATCTGCCATGGCACTGCTGTTTGGAATCTTGAACTTCTCACAAGCACTTCGCAGATCTGAAAGGCTGAGGTAGCCATCATTGTCAAAATCCTCAGCAATCGACCGTGGGTGATCAACGGGCACCAGATTTGCTTCCAAGAATTGCCGAGCTTGAACGCTTTGGAGACATTGCTTTCGAAAGGAAACAATTGTTGTACTCTGGCGTGACGAATGAAGAAGGGGTTGCCGACAAGCCGATCGTTCTCTCCTGCTTTGCTTTAGTGACTTGAGGGTGGTCAGCAGATCGGCAAGTTCCACCAGCTCGAACCCTTCAAGATCTTTTCACTTGTTGCCTTTCAAGGCTCTAAGCGTTTGAACATCTTCGAGGGCTTCAACTTGCCACCATTGGAGTTCTCCACCAGTGCAATGGCGTCCGCCAGGGCTTCCATGACGTACCTTGGCTCAGGCCGTACCGCTTTGCGGCCAACGCGAACCAAGAGTTGAGGAAAACGGGAACCAATAGTAGATTGAAGCTGTTGGAGTCAGGAAGCAAACACTCTAAGTAATGCACTTGTTGGTAGCGATGGCCTCCAACCTAGTAGCGATGCCCTTTGCTCCTAGTAGCTTCTTGTTTCTAGTAGTACGGCCAGGAGCCAATAGTAGCGTCCTTGCTCCTAGTAGCGATGGCCTTTGCTCCTAGTAGCGATGGCCTTTGCTCCTAGTTGCCTTTTGTATTCATGCACTGCATCCAAGAGGCCTTGCTTGCCAGTAGTTCTCATACCGTGGCTTTTCGGAGTCTGGCGGTCGCTCCCGTGGGGGTGGGTTGCCACGCAGGGCTCGGTTTAGGCCATCGTTCACATAGTGGATGACCTTCTTCTCATCCTGCGACATTTGAGATGCACCTTTGCTTACCATGGTCTCAGTTGTTTTCACGTAGGGAGTTCTGGCTGTGCTTCTGCAACATCGTGCAACACCGCAGAACTTGGTTGTGGGTTTACATCCCAGAACCGGTCCGGAGGCTTGTAGACATTCTCGATGAACTGCTGCACGTCCACCTCGTGATCTCGGTTGTGCCTCTGGGTCACCACAAAAGCCTGGCTCAATGTGCTCAAATGTGCTTTGAATCAACTTGCTTCTCCCAAGTTCTGATGGAAGGGATGGCAAAATGGCCTCCCAACTTACAGTATATCCAAACTTATCGAAACAGGATCCTCCAAATCTAATTATAGGCCAAGTCCAAGTCAAACCAATTCCTGGCCTCGATGTCCCCTCTCAAAAGCTTCAGGGAAGCTGGTGGCCCTGCAAGCCCCTGCGCTGCAGCAGAGGGTTCTTTCACCGTCTCTAGGGACGTGTCTGCCTCACGAGCACCTGCCAGTCTTTGACACACTCAAGAACGACACTGGAGCAAGTGTAAGCAAGAATCTGTTTCTTTGCCTTCGGCAGATTGGTCCAACGTCATGACATCCGGGCCCTTGGAACTGTGAGAAGCATAGAGAGGCTCCTCAATGTACAGTCCGGATACGTTCCGGCCGAATGAGGCACATGGTGTTGCACACAAGACTTTGTTGCCGTGTTTAGCTTCGAGCAAACAAACGACGATTATTGACATCCTGTTGGAGGTCAACAGCTGTCCTTTCGTCGCAAGGATGACTGTGTGTTGGGCTCTTCCAGCTCATTCACCAACATGTCGATCAAATCATCCTAGCAGCAAGCTGTCGCAGCAAGCTGTCGCAGCAAGCTGTCACACTATATACGTCGCAGTAAAAGGAATGTCCAGGTGTCACCTATGACGCCTATAACGGAAAAATGTATGAAAAGCAAATCTCCAATTTGACTTCATCTCTCTGAGTTGCTTCGCCTGGTGCACAGTTTCCCTTTCTTTCAGCAACTCTTGCAGCCGTGACTTTCGGATCAGCTTCGGCCTCAAGGAGAGTCTTCACCAATGAAACTGACATATGGAGCTTGACTATACAAAACCTCTATGGCTGAGCCAAGCTGAGCCCTCTTGCAAAGCGCGCTCCGTCCGCTGCGCCTTGGCACGGAGAACCTGGCCGGACCGCCCGCGCTGCGTCGTCTTCGGACCGACCTCGGACCGCTTCCGTGTCCCTTTTCCTCCCAAGTCGACATGCCTGAATGTCTCCCGGTAGAACTTCATCGTCTTAAGACGAAAAAGGAGCCTTCTCAAAACGGGCACAGGTCTGGCGCCAGGGAAAGGACAAGCAGCTAGCGTCCACAACTTGAATTGAGACGCTGGTTGCATGGGATGCAGGAACTTGGATGAGATTTGGTTGGAGGCCATCTCTAGTGGGTTGGATGAGATTTGAACAAACCCATCCTAGGCCCTGCATCGAAGGAGAGACAATTCCAATTGTTGGAAGCCTCATGTTGATAATGCCCACCTTTGCCTCCAAAGAGAGGTCAGCTTCTGTCTTATTGACTGATTGACTAAGGATATCTGATATCTCATGATCTATGGTTGAGTCGGTTGAGTATTGTTTCTACACATTTCTACACTCTGAACATCCGGTACAAGGACAACAAACTACCTCTCGTGGAGACAAGGATGAAACTCCTACGAAAGGAGGAATCACGGTGGTTTGCAGCATTCCTTTGGACAAACGAAACGATCTGATTAGATGCTCTCTCTTGCTTGAACACTGCCCTTTAGCAGCTTTCAATGCCACAAACCCCGGGAGCAAAAAAAGGTTGGACTCCTCAGGAATCACCTTTGTTCATGTGTACATGTTATGCTATTAGGGTGGAAGCCATCGCTAGTAGGTTGGAGGCCATTGCTATTAGGTTGTACAAATGGCCTACTGACTAAGTTGCTTCTACCAGGGTAGAGTGCCCTTCTCCGCTGTTGCAAGAGTTGAAGCAACCTGCCAACGTTATAACTTGCCTCTCCCCAAGAAATGATGAAGAAAATGTGGCCATCACGAGCGCCAACAAAGAGTTCATACTCCAAATCACTGTCAGGAGCTGAGAACTTGGACACAGGTATCTTTGCCAACTTGCCAAGCACTCACTGCACTTTGTGTGACATGAACTTCAAGAACTCCTGGCACTTTGTCAAGAAAAGATACTTTGAATCTTGAGGAAATTTTCTTTGCGTGTCTGAAACTGCATTCCATGTCTGCATCCAAAAGTCAACTGCCTACATGTCATACCCCACTCTTGGTATATACATATCTCTCCATCTCGCATGTCAAGTTTGGAAGGTTGCATGCATATCGCTCCTCCTCTGAGATTCTTCCATCACAGTTTTGGTCCGCACGCCTCCAAATGCCTGCAACCTGCAGCGACGACGAAAGAATCAGGAAGCCTGCTTTAAGCCGAAAAGGGAATCGTTCCACGGGGAGACCAGCGAACAACCCTTCTCCCCGCCTGGGCTGAATTAGTATCTGGACAGACCTGCAATTTGGGGCACAAGACACTGGCAGCACTCACCGAGAAGACCCTCAGCGCAGGATCACTCGTAGCTCAACAAAAATGAGCACCCGCTGGCTGGCCTTCTTGACCCAGAGTTGGAACTGCACAGGCGACAGGTATTTCAAGCCCTGGCCAAATGAAAGGATTTCATGATTTCATGCTTGGCAAGGAGCAAGGACGCTACTAGGGGCTCCTGGTCTTGCTATAGTAGCTTCTTGTTGATTCTCACTGTTGCGAGACATTCTCGGCACCGAGAGCAGTCAAGACACGAGAGCGAGAACGGCACCGAGCAGCTCGGCACCGAGAGCGAGAACGGCACCTGCTGGTCCAAGGAGTCGAACAGTTGCTGAGACGTTTGGCTCTCACTGCCCACCAAGAGGAGATGCGCCTCGAAAAAATACACATGAAGAGTAAGGTCTGTCCAATAGAGTGTGTAGCAAGTCTGTCCAAAATTCAATAGAGTTACAGTATACAGAATAGAATGTCTTGGGTGTGTCGCGTGCTCAAGGTCTGATGACCTTTGTTGAGTTTCCACTTCTTTTTGTCAATACGTGGTCTGATAAACTTGTCCCACTCCTCCCTGCCCCAATCCATTCCGTGACTGGTCAGGAGTTGGATCCTGCATCTCTTAGCTGCTCTCGGTTTTCATTCACACAACACAAATGCCTCTTCGACCATTGCTTCCACCTCCTCTGGTGTTAGCCTCGCAATCTCTTGTCTCATCGACAGCAGAAAGAATAGATTGAAAAAATATGTCACAGAAATCGAGGTCAAAAGTCTCACATTCACCTTGCATGAAAGCAAGCCTTTCAACATTCAACATTCAACATGCAACATCAAAATCGTCAACCCTTGAAACCATTGTGAAACCATTTGTGAAACCAATGCGCCTCTGCTGAAGCACAGGCATGGCACTCTTTGCAGCAGGCGATGGCGACTGCAACGATGGAGTGCCTGGAGTTCCTCCTTCAAGAGCTGGTTCAGTTGCATTGTTATATGCATGAATGATTCATTTGAACGTCTCTGAAAGCTCTATGACTCTATATACAATACTCCAAGTCTCAATTGGTTCAGCTGTTACTTATGTAGTGTAATTTGCCTCTCACGGGTGGCCTAACTGGCCGATCTTGGGCTTCACAAAGCGACGCCGCAGAGCGCGGAAAACACGTTTGCAGGCCTCAGGTTTGAGCGCTCAAGAAGAATTGTTTGGGGTCAAACGTCGATCGCAGGTTGAAATTTGGACATGTCCATGCCCCAAATAGTGATTTGAGCTCTGGCACCCTGGGCAGACAAAAATGATGAAGGGGCCTTGAGTCCAGTGCGGAAAGTGAGGCAAATGTGGGATACGATGGCTTCATCGAAGTTCAAGGAGGGAATAGAGAAAAGAAGAGCGCAACAGTCAAGGAGTTGATGCAAATAATAGGAAGAACAAAGAGTTGCAGGAGGCAAAGGTGAGAACCTTTCGAAATACAGGAGACGGCAAAGCAGCAAACAACCATGCAAAGACAGAAGGAAGCAACAAGAGGTTTCAGATGATCAAGGTGAAGATGACTGAAGCACAACGGACAGCCCAAGAGGCAAAAAGGGGATCAAAAAGATTCATCTACTGTATATGGTTTAATTTTTGAGCCAAAAAAATATAAAACTATACAGTACAATCCATGTTTGTGAAAAAGTATAGTCTCAAAATCCGTCCGCACAGAACATGGTGAGGCGTGTAACTCGTGTCGGAGGTCCGTAGAACGTAGCTGCCGTAGTGAGCTTTGGTAGGGGAGGAGGGCCACTTCTGGGAATCTCAGAGGTATGGCCAGCATAAAATCAGCCGTGATTGCATTTCGGAGCGACATATTCGAAGGATGGGGTCATCTTGGGGTCAACTTGGCCCAAGTTGGCTCGACTAGGGTTTGGGCCCAAGTTAGGCCCGACATGGGGCAATTTGAGCCCAATTTGGGCCAAGTTGACCTCAACATGGACCCATCAAGGAGAACATGGTCCAGAAATGTCCAGAAAGGTGTTCCATTGTGGCCAAATCTGTGGCATGCTGGGTTCAACTGTGTGACCACCGGGTGTGTCCAAAACCCCCCCCAATTGTTGCATGTTTGTTTGTTTGCTTGTTTGCTTGCTTGCTTGCTTGCTTGCTTGTTTGTTTGTTTGTTTGTTTTTCTGCACTGCCCTGAATCGGCGACGACCTTAGTCATGTCAGTCAGAGAGCTGCAATTTGGGATTCCTTATCCCTAACTCAACCTCCTGGTGCAAGCGGTGTTCTTCGCAGATCGACATGAATATACTAAAGAAAAGGAGGCTCCATTTAGCTCTCGCAATCCGCGCAACACTATTCCAACTGAGCAAGTTCTTCAGGCGTTCGTTTTTCTACATCGACCGTGCCACAGCCAATTCTATTTAAGGCTTCTGCAGCAATTGGATTGGAGCTCTTGGACTCGTCCGTCGGGCTCTGATCCTGGCTACACCGAAGAAAAAAATAACGGACCGGATAACCCCACATATGGATCTTTACGAATCTTAGGTTTCTAACGCACAAGCAGTCAGAGTCTCAATAGCTTCTACAACACGGCCTTGTCAGGAAGTGATATCAGCTTCCGACAACAGAGGGGTGGGAGAGAAGGTGTAAGAGAGTGATGTGCACGACGGATGTACGAGGTATTGTGCACACAGGTGTGCGCAGCCACAACTAGCCAACAACACCAGCGGTTGTCGCACGTCCGCAATATGGGGCATAATGTACTAAAGTTGTACTACCAAGTCGCCAGTTCTCAGCTTCCAGCTCCCCAGCTACTCCGCGTACTACAGTTGTACTACAAAGTCGCCAGTGCTCATCTTCCAGCTCCCCAGATACTCCGCGTGCTCAAGTTGTACTACCAAGTCGCCAGTTCTCATCTTCCCACTCCCCAGCTACTCCGCGTACTAAAGTTGTACTATTCTCAGCTTCCAGCTCCCCAGCTACTCCGCGTACTAAAGTTGTACTACCAAGTCGCCAGTTCTCATCATCCAGCTCCCCAGCTACTCCGCGGA